AGAATAACAAAAATAATTGATAATAAATTATAAAGTATCTAAATGTTTTAATTTCTCTGATAAACGAAGACCAAATGATGGAATCTCAGATAATTTATTATTTACTGTAAATAATGGAACAGTAATTGGTTGAATTTGAGGTGTTTCTAATGAATTTAATTCTATTAAACTGAGTTCATTTATACTATTAATTTCTGATAATAATTTTCTTTTAATTTCATTTAATTTTTCTTTAATAATTAAACATTCATTTTGAACTTCTTTTGTTAAAAAAGTTTTTTGTTTCATTCTACTTATAATTTCATTAATTTGACTAATTAAAGCACCAACAATTCCGTTTTCACCAATTCCTAATTCAATAGTTTGAATAATTTCTTTAATATATTGTTTACTTAAATTAATAAATAAATCATTTTCATCATTAATTTTAATTATTTGAATATTTGACTGATCTTTAAAAGAATTAATTAAAACTTTTATTTCTTGAATTAATAATTGTAATTGGTTAATTGTATTTTGTTGAATAACTTCTCTATTTTTTTGTTTTTGAATAATAATTTGACTAACCTCTTTTAAATTAATAATTTGTTGATTTAATATTTCTTTACACTTAATATTTCTTTTATCTTTTTCAATTAAATGTTCATTAATAATTTGATTATCAGAAATAATCCACTCTTCTAATGTACTATCAATTTCATTTCCTATTCTTTCAATTGACTGAATTATTATTTTTTTATTTTCATTTATTTGTTTTTGAATATTTTCATTTAAATTTTTTATTATTTCTTTTCTTTTTTCATTTCTTTTTAATTCATTTTGTTTTATAATTTCTTCAAATTCTTGACTTTCTTTTTTTTTCTTTTTTAATTCTTCTATAATTTCTTTTAAACTTTCATTCACAACTTCCATTTCTTCTTCTTTTTCTTTAATTTCTTTTTGTTCAATGTCTTCAATTGTTTTTAATTTTTCTTGAAATTCTTTATTAATTGCTTCTTTTTCTTTAAGTATTTGTATAACATTTTCTTTATTTTCTTTTTCTTGTTCTATTCCTTCTTTACAAAATATTTCCATTCTACTTATTGTATCTTTATAAATCCATTGTTGATTAAATTCTTCAAAATTAATTCCTTCCATAATACTCTTTTTATCACTTTCTTCTATTCTATTTTCAATTATATTCCAATTTGTTTTAATTTCTTTTTTTTCTTCTTCTATTTGTTCAATTATTTTTTTTTCTATTTCATTTTCATCTTCTTGAATTTGTTTAATAATGTCATCGTTTTGTTTAATCTTTTCATTATTTTTTTCATAAATATCTTCTAATTTTCGTGATTGTTTTGTTAAAACCTCTATTGATTTAACTACTTTTCCAAGTACAGTTTTTAATTCTATTTCATTTTGTCGTTTCAAATGAATATAATTTATAGCACTTTTTAATTGGTCTTGTGCTGCACTAACTTCTCCTTTTGCTTGTGCAAATAATGCTTGCATTTCTAAATTTTGCTGATTAACTTTAGCAACTTCCATTTGTAATATTTCAATCTCTTCTTCTGTAAGTGGTTTTTCATTACGTTTTCCTTCAGTAATAAGTTTTTTTAAGTTAATAATTTTATCTAATTTTTTTTGAAGAAAAATATCTTTTCTAACACTTGCATTTTGTTTTGGTGTATTTTTTATTGTTTTAACTCGTTTTGCATATTCTAATGTACTCAGTGTTTCTTCTAAATCTTCTTGTGCAGGAGATATTGTGGCTACCATTGCAGTAATACTAGCACCTCCTAATGCATCTTGTAAAATACGTGTTAAAGGTGATGATCTAAATGGAATATAAGTATCTCCTTTACTCACCCCAATAATAACTCTATTTAATGCTAAAAGACTTTGATTAATTGCCATCCCTTCTAATTGTTTTACTTTATCTCCAATAATTCCTGCTCTTTTACTATTCTCACTTCCTGCAAGATCTACACAGTGAATTCTTCCTGGAACAACAAAATCACCTTCAAAATCACTGTCTCTAATAATTTGTACTGTCACAGTAAAAATACAATGTGACCTTGATGAATTAGTATTAATATCTGTTGCTGCTGTTCTTCTTTGTCCTGAAGATTTTGCTAATATTTGATGAACATTTTCTTTTGTTACCGTTAATTCAGTTGCACTTTCTGGTGATGCACCATTTCCTTCTTTCCTTTCTTTAATAGCCAACTCTTTTCTTTCATCACTTAAAAGGTCATATACCTTTTCATTATATATTTCTACATGAGTCACTCTCATTCTATATCTTAATCCTCTCTTTTCTAATGTCATAAATAACTCATTTATTACTCGTGGAATAACTCCTTCATTTTCTTCTTCTCCTTCCATTGTGTATGTCTTTCCAGTTCCTGTTTGTCCATATGCAAAAAATGTACAATTATATCCATCAATAACTTTCCCAATAAACCCCTCTAATGCAGAATCACAAAATTGATTTTGATTAACTTGTGATGAAAATACTTGGTCAAATTCATATTTTTTTCCTGAAATAGTTAAACTTTGATTATCCATGTGAATATCAGCAATACGTTCATTTTCTTTTCAGGACGACACGGACATAAACTTTAATATTCATTCGTTATACTTTTCTGAGATTTTTTTTTATTTTTCGGTTTGTAATCATCAAAAAGCAAGATGTTATATATAACGAGATAATACAAAAAATAAAAATACAAAAAAAGGTTCAAAAAATGAATAAAATAAAAGATCAAAAGAATGAATAAGTTAGTATCAGAAATTTATAAAGATCAAGAGAACTTAAAAAAAACAAAGATGTCAATTACCTCTATTGTCCCAAACTTTGGAACTGTTAGAACAGAGTCTGTAGGTACTTTAGGCAAGAAAGATTACCGAATCTATTTTGAACAAGAAGGAAAGAAGATTTCTCCATGGCACAAAATACCTGCATTTGTAAGTAAAGAAGTTGTTAATATGGTCTGTGAAATTCCAAGAGGAACAAATGCTAAAATGGAAATATCAACAACAACCAAATTTAATCCAATTAAACAAGATTTAAATAAAGACGGTTCATTAAGATATATGAAACATGGAAATGTCTTAAATCATTATGGCGCAGTTCCCCAAACTTGGGAAGATTTATTTGAAAGAGATTCTATTGTTGGCATTCCTGGAGATAATGACCCAATTGATATTATTGATATCTCTCAAAAGAAAGTTGCACGAGGTGAAATTATTCAAGTTAAACCAATTTGTGCATTGGCATTATTAGATGGAGGTGAAACTGATTGGAAAGTTATTGGAATTAATGTAAATGACCCTCTTGCTCAAACTATTAAATCTGCTAATGATATTGAAAAAACTGTTGATGAAATTAGAGAATGGTATCGTGTCTATAAAGTTGCTGAAGGAAAGAAATTAAATAAATACGCTTACGGTGGAAAGGCTTTTAACCAAAAGTCAACATTAGATATTATGAATGAGACCCATTTGCAATACAGAAAACTTAAAACAACTCAAAAGAAGTTATCAAAATTGGCGTTAGATTAAATTCCTTTTTTTTTGGTTTTATATTTTATTTTTGTTTTTTCCTTATTTATTTTTTTTTTTAATAAACAATTTAAGTAAAAAAAAACAAAATGAAAAACTAAAAATGGTCGAAAAAAACTAGAATAATAGTAAAGAAACTAAAAATAAAAAAATTAATGAAATTGAATAGTTGAAAAAAAAAGAACTGAAAAGATAAAAAATAAGATCATGCAAGACATTACATTGGAATCCTTTCTTGACAATTTAAGAAGTGAAGATATTGAGATAAGAATGGAAACTTTGACATATTTACCTATCTTATTACCAGAACTTGAAATTCAAACTGTTAAAGAAATTATTGTAAATTTAGTTCACTCTCTATTTGAAGAAGAAGAGTTAGACCTCTTTGCGACTGACCAATTACCATTATTTACACAAATATTAGGAAAAGAAGAGATATATAATTTATATCCATTATTTGACATTTTGCTTGGTGCACCTGAGATTAATATAAGAGAAAAGGCAATGACGTGTTTTGCTGAAATAATAACTATCTATCCCGAAAATGATTATCTCCCATATATTAAAGAATTATGTAAAGTATCAATCTACGGAAAAATTTCAGCTGCAAAATTAATTTGTTTACTACCAGAAAATGATGGAGTATTTACAGTTATAAGAGAATTATCACAAGAGGCTTTTCCACCTATAAGAAAAGCTGTTGCTTGTGGAATAGAAAAAGTAGAAAATATGCCATCAGATATTATAGACGTTTTATTTAGAGACCCAATTGATTCAGTAAGAATTGGATTTAGTAAATGTCTTCCATATCTTTGTCGTAAAGAAGAATATATCAATTACTTTAAAGAACTCGCCCGTGATCCATGTTGGCATGTTAGATATGTTTGTGCAGTTAATATTGGTAAATGTTGTGATGCAATCCCTGGAGATGTACTTACTAAAGATGTTCAAGATATTACTTTTGATTTATTAAATGATGAAGATGATCATGTTCGTTCTATGGCAGCAAGTCATATTGCTGATATTACAAAGAAAATTCCCCCAGAAATTATTATTAGTGATATTCTTCCATTAGCAGAGAAATTATCAGTTGATCCAGTTATTGATGTTCGTTCATCACTTGCAGCCGCTATTACACAAATAGCCCCACAAATTGGACGTGCAAATTGTCAAAATTATTTATTTAAAATTATTGAAACTTGTCTTCAAGACAACAGTACTGAAGTACAATTAAAGATAATTACTACGTTAGATTATTTAAATCACGTTATGGTATTATCTCAATTATCACAAAAAGTACTTGCTACAGTAATGAAATTAGTAAATGATTCATCATGGAGATGTAGATTACAAACAATAGAATTAATTCCTGAATTAATTCAACAATTAACTGAATGTCAATTTGAATTAGTACGAGTAAGTGTGTCTGTATTAACGGATAAAGTTTATGCAATTCGAGTAAAGGCTATTGAAAATATTAAAAAGCTTATTGCATCATGTGGTATTGATTGGGTTAAATCACGTATTCTTCCATCAGTGATTTCGTTAGCTAGTTCAGGGTTATATCATCATAGAATTATTTGTATGAACTGTATAACACAAATTATTCCATCTCTTTCTGCTGAAACTATTACTACAATTATTATTCCTATTGTTCTTAAATTACTTACAGACAAAGTTCTAATGTCCGTTTTAATGCAATTAAAACTTTTATTGTTATTCTTCCATTAGTATCAGGTAATATTATTCAAACTAGAATTAAACCAGCACTACTTGCAACTAAAAATGATAAAGATGCTGATGTTCTTGGAGAATTAACAAAGGCAATAGAAAGTGTTAATCAGTTTTTATGTTGAATTTACAATAAAATCAAATTTTTTTTATTCTTTTATTTTTCTTTTCATTTTACTTTATCAAATACAAAAAATCACACTCAATTTAATAAGTTGTTTATTTTTTCCTTTTTAGATTGGGTTAATTCATTAATCTTTTCATAATCTACTCCATTATCAAGTTCTGGATGATTTATATTTTCGAATCGAGCAACTTCATTTACAATTACACTAAAAATAGGTCTTTCTGTTGGTTTTTGATTCCAACAAGAAGTTATTAAATCTTTCCATTCTGTTGGCATTGAACTATCTAAAGGAAGTCTTTTACCATTACAAACAAAGTTTTTAATATCAAATAATGATTTGAATTCTTTATATGGTTCTTCACCATAAAACAATTCCCATGCAGTTATTGAATAAGAAAATACATCATTTGGACAATCATAAATATCTTGATACGCTTCAGGGGCAACATAAATAGGAGTACCAAGACCTTTATCTTTATTTAAACGTTGAATAAATCTAGAAGTACCAAAATCAGTAATTTTAACACAACAAGCAGAGTCAGCATACAATGAATTAACTAACAAATTATCAGGTTTAAGGTCAAGATGAAGAATAGAATTATTGTGTAAGAAATTCATTCCTTTAGCAGTATCAAGAAGTATTTTATTTTTTAAAGCAAAAGGTAAAACAATACCTTCTTTATTTCCTTTATGAATATAATTATTTAATGAACCTAACTCAAAAAATACAGTAACCATACATATTTGTGGAATATATGTAACTGATCCAACATAATTTACAACAAATGGATTACGTAATTTACTTAATAAATCACATTCTCTTACTACGTCTTGTTTTAATTCTTCCATTTCTTCATTTGAAAGATTTTCCCATCTAAATTGTTTTACTGCAACATATATTGTTCTATATTTTCCAACATAAACTGTTCCCATAGCACCTTCTCCAATAGGTTCATCTACTAATTGAATTTCATCCATATCAAGATTAATTGAATTAACTGCATCAGTTTCTATTGTAAAAGAACCATGAAATTTATATTTAACAAATTTCATATTTTGATCCATTGATTTTTTACAAGTTTCATCCCATTCAGCAAATGTTCTGTCTTTTAATAAATTACTAATATTATTAAGAACATCTCTTTTATTACTAAAATAACAACTTACATGAATTTTTAATCCAAATATCTTTGTAGTACAATGAAGCGTCATAAAACATGTACAAACTTTAATAGTATGTGAACGTAGTATATGTACTTGTGGCATAAAATGAAATACATATTTAGGGTTATTTGGTGTATGAAAGATTAGTAACATATATTTAGATGAATTATTTGATACAACAAATCGTTCAAACCTTGTTTCTTCTATTTCTGCAAGATTATCTTCTGTTCCAAAATTTAATTTACTATGATCAATTACTATTCGATACTTATCTTTTACTGGACATGGATCAACAAGTGCACTTGTTGATTCAATTATATTTAATGCAGTTGACCGTGTAATATCATAATAATAAATTGGTTGTTGTTGACGATAAATGTTAAGGTCAACATTTTTTGTTCTAATAATAAATGAAGTTAATGTGACAGATAAAATTATAATTATAATAACTAATAAAATTCCTCCAATACAAATAACAATAATTGCCCATGTAGCTAATGTAGCTTTATTTTTACATCCAAGTGATCCATCTGATACCATATTGTTAAATGCACATTGACATGTATCAAGACAATTATATCCTCCATCACATATTTCTCCTTCATCTAATTTTCCATTTCCACATGTTAATAAAATACATCCTAAACTTGGATTTTCTTGATTTCTTGGTTTATATCCTTCAATACAAATACAATTATCTTGACAATTGTTTGTTCCTTTAAGACAATCTAAACTACTATCACTTTCTACATTATTTAAACAAGTTAATTTAATACATTGATGATTAATTACTTGGTATCCATCATCACATTCACAATCAATTGTACAATGACTTCCTCCATATTCACATAATAATGAAGAATCCCCATAAGCTTTATTATATTCTTTAGTTATATTATTATAACAAATATCCATACACGCTCTTCCATATTTATTTTTTGAACAAATACATCCTCCACTTCTATAACTACATACCCCTGCATCTACATTAGAATTACAATCTTTAGGACAAACAATAGCAATTTTAAGATAATCATCTTCTTCTGGTTCAGTAGTTAAATAAGCAAAATATAATTTTTGATAATTCATTCCTTTATAAATACCATCTGCAGGTTTAGAAGAATTATATTTAATTAGTAAAGATAAACCTTGATTAATTCCCTGGTTCTCTAATTTACCTTCTACTGAAGATGTATGTAAAGCAATACATCTTTCTTTAACTTCATTTGTTGTAGGGTCATTAATTAAATCATATTCTTGAATATACCTCATTCCAGTTCTTACAGAACGTACAAGAAGACTTACACCTTCAATTAGTTCAGCAGAAAATCTAACTGATTTCATATAATAATTTGGTGCACAAACTGGATATCCATAAAAACCAGTAACCTTCATAGGAACATTTAAATATAAATCTCCATGTGTTTGGTTTAACATTTCTACAGCACGTGCACTAAAAGGAATATAAGGTTGAAATAAAGGTTGTTGTAAACTAAATGAAATTCCACCAATATAAGAAGAATTATATTGACGATCAGTATGAATAAATAATTTATAATGTTTATTCATTTTACCTATCCAATTACAATTCATTTGACTAGACATTGATTCTCCAGAACTTAAACATTCATTAACAGCTTTAAGAGGATCAGTATCTGATAATTCTACAACATTACATTGAAATTTATTTACATTATTCCATTGAATACTTGCTTGATATGAATATTCTTTTCCTGTTGTGTCTAATGAATTTTGTACAGGTATATCAAAATAAATACCATAAACATATTGAGTACGACCAATACTTTTTTCAGCACATGGTTGTGGATATAAAAATTGCATTCCACCATTAAAATATGTTACTTTTGATGTATTTAATTTAGTAATATTTTCAAATAAAGTTGGAATAGAATAAGGAGTTAATACTGTGACACTGTCATATGCAGTACATTTCCCAGATGCATCCATTCCATAAAAAATATTTGATTCAGAAATAGTAATATATGGATCAGACTCACGACATGTTTTACAAGTTAAGTCATTACTGTCATATTCGTCTCCACATTTTAAACATACAGTTTCATTTAAATAAGCTACACACCCAGCTCCAATAACATCATATCCAAAACAATTCAAAATATTATAAAATAAAAAAAGAATCGTAATACACTTCATCTCTTCTTTTTTTTTGAATTCAATAATAAGATCATTCTTCTATTTTTATTTTTTCATTTGTTATTATTTGTTACATCGTTAATTTGAATCATTTGTTTGTTATTTTTTTTGTTTCTTCTAAATATCTTTTTTATTATTTTTTTATAATCTATTTTAATTTTCTCTTTTAAGTTTCATATGAATTTTATCTTGTTTTGTTGTTTATGATCTTCTACATTCCCAGTTTTTTTACTTTACTTTATGATAAAAAAATATCCTTTTTTTATTATAAAAAATTAAAATAGTTTGTTTTCTTTTATTCATTTCTCTTTTTATATTTCATCTGTTAAGAACTTCTTAACGTTACTATGAAATATCTTAAAATACTCTTTTTTAAAACATTAAAATTATTATGATTTCTACCACTCCCTTCTTGGATTGGCACTTCTCATTATTTCTTTTTATTTTTGTGAGTCATTTAATTGTGTTATTTAGTTGTTACTATAACAAAAATTCATACTTATTCAAATGAATAACTATAACACTGTATTTGAAATAATTTTTGTTAAGTTTTGTTAGTTTAGTTACTTATTAATAACTAAGACTTTTTTATTTATTATTATACAATTTTGTTGATAATAAGTTGTAAACATCATTTACTCTTCATTTTTAAGTTACTAGAAAAGGGAAATACAATAATTATTGAAAAGGTTTGTTATTTGAAAAATGATTTTAAATTTTTAAAAACTCTTACTTTAAATTTGAGTAAACCAACTAAATTTTCTACCATTTTTAAAAAAAAATATATATCTGTTATATATAACGAAAATAATTTATTTTATTTAAAAAAAAGAATAGTAAAAAAGAATATTAAAGATATAATAATAAAAAAATAGGTTTTCTAAAAAAAAAAAGAAAAAGGTTTTTGAGGGAAGAACTAAGAAATTGGAGAAGGGGAATGGCTGAGCAAACTGAAAGAGCTTATCAAAAACAAGTTTTCCACCATCATTCTAGAAATGAAAAGGGAGAAATTGATTTTGGTAGTGTAAAGAGATATCACAAACAAATTGGTATGGGATTTGTTACTCCAGCTGAAGCCATCAATGGTACTTACATTGATAAGAAATGCCCATTTACATCAGACGTCTCTATTAGAGGAAGAACATTATCTGGAATTGTTAAATCATGCCATATGAAAAGAACTATTATTGTTAGAAGAGATTATTTCCATTATGTTTCAAAGTATCAAAGATATGAAAAGAGACATAAGAATATTGCTGTTCACTGTTCTCCAGCTTTTAGACAATTGAAAGAAGGTGATCATGTTGTTATTGGACAATGCAGACCACTCTCTAAAACTGTTAGATTTAATGTTCTTAAGTTCACTTCCAGAGGAACTGGTGATAAGAAACAATTTGCTATCTTCTAAAAGAGAAAAATCTATTTGACTTTTTATTTCTTAATTTTTTTAAAGTTTGAATTTTTCAATACAATTCAATTAAAAAAGTAATAGTATTATCTTTCTTCATTTTGTTGTTTTACAAATGAATAAAATAAACTATTTATGTTGTTTAAAAGATTTTGTGGTGTATCAAACTCCTGAACAATACCATTGTCCATAACAATAATTCTGTCATAGTCTATAATGGTATAAATTCTATGTGCAATGGTGATAACTGTTTTATTTTTCATAAATGTTCTAATACTTTTCTGTATGCGTTGATCTGTTTCATAATCGACACTAGAAGTTGCTTCATCAATACAGATGATTTTTGAATCTCTAAGACATTCCCTTGCAATACATAGTAATTGTTTAGTACCAGAACTAAGATTCTTTCCATTTTCTTCAACTAAATCATCAAGACCTTTGAATTCTTTATCAAAACCCAAATCTTGTAAAATCTGACAAATGTCTTTATCTGAATTTCTTTTAAATGGGTCAATATTTTCTCTAATAGTTCCTTGAAATACTAATGGATCTTGCGGTATTATTCCAATTCGCTCTCTTAATATATGGTATGGAATTTGACTTAGTGGTACTCCATCAATTATCACTGTTCCACTTACATTTGAAACAGTTTTAAATAGAACTTGTAAAAGAGATGATTTACCACTTCCAGTTCTTCCACAAACACCAATTTTTTCTCCATGATGAATACTAAATGAAATATCTTTCAAAACTTCAGGTAATTCTTTTCTATATTTCATTGTAATATGTTTAAACTCAATATTTCCAATAGGCCAATTTTGATTAAGAATTAAATTTTCAACGTTAATTTGAGAAGTATTTAATTCTATTGATTTATTATTTGTTATTGGTAATGGATTAAAATCAATTAAAGAATCTCTGTTTTGTTGGTCAATTTCTTCTTCAGTTTGTAATTCACAATATTCTAAAACTCGTTCAACAGAGACAAAACTACTTTGTACATCAGAAAATGTTTTTATTAAAAATACTAAAGAATGAGTTACATTCATTGCATAGGAAATTGCTAAACCAGCTACTGATGCACCACCAAGTGAAGCTGCAATAACACTCCCAAACATTACAAAAGCACCAATACAATCAACACGTAAACATAACCATCTATCAACAAGAGAATTAGAATAAGTAGTTCTTTGATGAATATCAAATAATTTAGACTGTTGATCAAATAATAATTGATTTAATTTTTGTGCACGAATAGTAAATAATCCAGGAACAGTTTCTGATGTAATAGATAATATTGGTGATTTAGTTGTTGATTGTAATCTTTGTAAATTTTGACTTGAATCAATATAAAATATAATAATAGAAATATAAATATAACTAAGAATAATTAAAAGAGGCATAAAGAGAATTGAAGAAAGTAAATTTAATAATAGTACAAAAACAACAGTGAGGACTTGAAGGATACAAATTGAAAGTACTCTTTTTAATTGAGTATCCATTGTTTCAATATCTTTAGTAAATCTATTTAAAATTCTTCCCATTGGAGTTGTATCAAAGAAAATAAATGGAGAATGGATGATATGATAAAACATTGAATTGTGTAATGTTGTTGTTGCTTTTGTACCTAATCTTGTTTCAATAATACTTTTTAATAAAGTAAATATCACTGCAATAAGTTGTAAAATAAAATAATATAATAATGGAACTGGATTATATGTTAACATATAATCAGATAATGTTGTTGAACCTTTAACAGCAAATGAAATACATAAATAAATAATAATTGATGGTAAACCACCAACACTTTGAATATATTTTTTAAAAACTGATTCTTTAATTATTCCACTTTCAATAGTTTCTTTTGTCATTAATTCATTTGAAGTTTCATTTAAATGAGAAGGAGATTCTAAAGGACTTAATTTTTTTATTTCTTTTTTAATAGGAATAGGGGATAAAATAGTAGGTGTTTTTGTTAATTCATTCATATTTTTTAATGTATTAATAAATTCAGTTTGAATAAAATCATTATAATTCCCATTAAAAACGATATTATGATTTTCTAATACAATAATTTGATCTGCATATGGAAGATATTGTAATTGATGTGTACATAACACTCTTGTTTTTTCTTTTAATTCTGTTTTAATTACATCATTAAAAAGTTTAATTGATACATGTGGGTCAACTGCAGATAATACATCATCAATTAAATAAATATCATATAATTTATATATAACTCTCGCTAAAGCAATTCTTTGTTTTTGACCACCTGATAAAGTAATTCCACGTTCACCAATTTGTGTTTTAATACCATCATGAAATATTTTAATATCAGGTTCTAATTGACAAAGATTAATTATTGTATTAAGTCTTTCTTCATTATATTTATTTCCCTTACAAATATTTCCTTGGACCGTATCATTTCTTAACCATGGAATTGATGAAATAAATCCAATACTTCCATTTATTCCATTAAATGATTTTTCGTCATGTTTACATTCTCCTAAAATTGCATTAAGTAAAGTAGTTTTACCACATCCAACTTGTCCAATTACCATTACTAATTTTCCTTTTTGTATTTCTAAATTAATATCATTTAATACCATTTTGTTTTTATATCCAAAACTTCCTTTTAATTTAATTGCAATAGTATCTTCTTCTTTTATTTTTTTAACTCCTTCATATTCTTTTTTATTTAAAAATTTTTCAATTCTTTCTATTGCAACTTTAGCTTCAATTATTCCTAATACTAAAAATGGAAGAAAGCTTAATGTGTGTTGTAATATTTGAAATACTGATAATGTTGTAAATGCTATTGAACTTGATAATTCCATATTTTTTAATGCAGCACTAAAAGTAATCATTGAAATAATTGCTGGAAGAAGTCTAGTAATTCCAAGCATACAGCCATCAACAATTGATAATTTTCTTATTAATTTTTGTTCTATTTCTCTATAATATTCAACTCGTTGTTGTGCAATATCTATTAATCCTTCTAATTTAACTCCACGAATATTAGAAATTAATTCATTTGTTATTTTACCTCTATTATCACGAAGTTGCATTAATTTAGACCTCATTTTTCTTTGATAACCTGCAGTAAATAATGTTATTGGAACACAAATAAAAAGTCCTATAATTCCATATAATGCTGCTGTACCTACAAGATTATATAACATAAATGAACATATTATTAATGAAACTGGAACATCAACTAGATCAAAAATATGTATTAAAACACGTACAACTCGATCAATATCGATATTAAGAATATTTACTATTTTAGAATTATTTGCATGTTGTACAACAAGTAATTTATTAAATACAATATCAGTTAATTCTTTTTTTATTTGAACATGAATTAATGAGGATAAATAAATATTTCTTTGTCTTGCAAATGCAGCAGTTAATGGAATAAATAACATACAAAGAGATAACCATAAGATAGATTTATTTTGTTCTAAATTCATAAGAATATGTTTTTGTATATAAGGAAGAATTGTATCTGTTCCTATCATAATAATGAAATAAGGAACTGTCATTAGTAGTTTAGGAAAATAACATACAACCATTGCTTTAATTAATGAAT